GCAGAATGTCAGTCCTCCAAATTAGAATCAGAATCTGCATTTTGGAACTAGCTGATTCTGATGCACAGAAACTTGAGACTCAGTGATCTGGATTAGAACATAATTGTTGGCTCTGTGCCTGAAGATGGATGATTGAGAATTTTATACAGTGATACGAGGAGAGCATGGAGGAGGTAACAACTTGATCTTAAGGACACACCTAACAGTAAGGAAGGTTGGGAAAGACAATCTAGCTATGTGTGTGGGAAAAGGAGAAAATAAATTTTGAGGGGCATTTAGAAAGTTTTATAGTATATATTTGGCTCAGCCATGAATAATACTGTTACCTCTTAGTGAAATCATCTTCGGAAGATATAGGTGGGATAGGAACATATGTGTGTGTATAATTCTGTTTGTCTCTAGGGGGAATGTTTGAGACAGCCAAATTCTTATCTTCTATAGTAGGAAGTCTGTGGATACTATCTAAAGTTAAAACAAATTAAGATCAGTATCAGCTTAAGCATGTAATTTAGAAATACGGAGATAAATCTCAGAAGAAACCACTAAAAGAGTTGAAAGTAAGTTGCTTCTGAGGAGGAAGATGGGTAGTTGGTGGACAAATACTGTTTTGCCTTGTAGTACTGTTGACTTTTTGAACTCTATATATGTATTTGTTTTATGGAAAGCAAATTGGAAAAAAAAGTTTCTATAGTCCAAATAGGAAATAAATACATAAAAAGTATTAAGTACTGCGTACCTGGGTGGCTCAGTTGGTTAAGCATCTGACTCTTAATTTTGGCTCAGGTCATGATCTCAGGGTCATGAGATCAAGCCCCATGTGGGGCTCCTCACTCAGCACGGAGTCTGCTTGTCCCTCTCCATCTGCTCCTCCCCCTGCTCCTGCTTGCTCTCTCTCTACCCCCTGCTCCTGCTTGCTCTCTCTCTAAAATAAATAAATAAATAAAACCTTTAAAAAACGTATTAAGTACTGAGTGCTATGAGAAAGGTAAGACTAAAGTTCATAGAAAGAGGCATATTTATCTGAGCCCAGCTTAGGTGGTAGGAGCCTTGGGGATCGATTAGGGAAGGCTTTCTGAAAGAGAGATATATCCTATTTACATTGTAAATAATATAAGTCATGATGCAATGAAAATGTTTTGGATTTATTTTGTTTTTAAAATGTGAACAATTAAAAGTAATTTAAGTGTTCATTAATCCACGCAATAGGTTTATTGAGTGCCTACTTTAAACTGGGCACTGTTCTAGGCACTGAAGATATAATCGTAAACAAAATCAAATTATTTCTTATCTCTTTTTTTTTAATTTGAGAGAGAGAGAGTGAAAGAGCACGAGCAGGGTGAGGGGGCAGAGAGAGAAGTAGACACCCCCTGAACGGGGAGCCCGATGTGGGGCTCGATCCCGGAACTCCGGGATCATGACCTGAGCGGAAGGCAGATACTTAACTGACTGAGCCGCCCCGGGGCCCCGATTTCTTATCTCTTAAGGCAGATGCTTAACTAACTGAGCCACGCAGGTGCCCCTAATTTTTTTTTAAAGCCGTACAAACTTCTGATGGCTTTCTGTAATCATGCCTTAAAATAGTTTCCCTGTCTGTCCTGTGAAAGGGTTACTTGAGAAGTAATTACTGCTATGATTAGTTTTTCTACTATTATGCAACAGTTATTTCTGGTAAACTTTCTTACCTAGTGTTATCCATACAACTCTTTTAAGTCTAAGGCTCTAGAATTTGTAGCCCAATCTGTCAATTGAATAATGGATAATTATAGAAAAGCATCAAAAACTCTTGAAACAATTCAGGGGTGCCTGGGTGGCTCAGTCGGTTAAGCATCTGCCTTCTGCCTTCGGCTCAGGTCATGATTCCAGGGTCCTGGGTTGGAGCCCTGAGTTGGGCTCCCTCCTCAGTGGGGAACCTACTTCTCCCTCTCCCTCTGACTCTCCCCCTGCTTGTGCTTGCTCACTCCCTCAAATAAATAAATAAAATCTTAAAAAAAAAAAAAAATTCCAGTTTCTGCTAAAGGCTTCAGTTTTCATCAGGAAAAGAAGGATGTGAAGCCATCTGTCTGGAGTGGATATTCTTTTAATTGCTAATTACATTTTGAATGTCTGCTAAGTACCTAGCATTGTGGTAGTAAGGCATGCAAAATAGGGAAGTGCTGGATATTTGCAGGAGAAACAAAAAACAGGGAACAAAGTCTGATACCTGACAGTTTGTGGCAATTAAGCAAACTTCTGATAGCTCTGTGGTTTTTCATGATTTCACAAGTGTTCTGCTGCTGTTGCTTTGCTTAACTGCAACTTAAATGCACACAAAGACCCAAGTAGCCTGAAATGTACCTGCTACTATATACCTGCACATAGTAGCTAATGTAGAGCATTGTGTAATATTATGCAGAGTTCCTAGAAATCCCCGCCTGTTCCCTGGACCCCACATGTGTATTTGATGCCCAAATTATAACCACCCATAAAAATCAGAGCCTCACATCTACCCAGTGCTACTTAGATCCTCTTTCTGAGTGTGCCCGCACTCCTCCTTCCTTGGAGTGTGTTCTTTGACTTTGCAGTGAAGCTTCCTCAGTTATACTTCATTCTGACTTGTCCTTGAATTCTTTCTCACAGCAAAGTCAAGAACCTGGCTCCCGCTGTTAGTTGAGGTCTCAGGGCCTGAGAACTCCCTGTCTCTAGTAATCAGTAGTCATTGTAAGGATTCAAGGAAGGAAGACGTGATTAGAACTAGAAGTAGGAAGTGGACTGATGTCTTAATATAAAAATGAAATGGGATATATTCTAAATACTATTTTCTATATTTCAAACAACTTTTTAAAGAAATTCGTTACAAATTCTTTTTATTTTCTTGATAATAATTGCTTATATAAGGTTAGAATCTCATTTAATTCTCATTTACTACATTCTAAAAATGTAACCAGGAACTAGAGCATAGGTCCAACATTTTTATTTGGCTCAACCAATTTTGCTATGAGTGCACTGGGAAGCAGTGAACCTTGCTCAAAACCTTACCTTCTCAGAACTTATTTCTAGGAATTACAACTTTTTTGGGAAAAATTTGTACTGTCGATAGCTTAGAAATAGCAATTTTGCCATATAAATTGCCACACTTTTTTTTTTTTTTTGGTGGCCTCCATGCCCAGTGTGGGGCTTGAACGTATGACCCTGAGATCAAGAGTCACATGCTCTACAGACTGAGCCAGCTAGGTGCCCCACCACACTGGGTTTTTTTTTTTTTTTTTGAATCTTTTTTTTTTTTAAAGCAATAGGACATCTGTTACTTTTTTTTTTTTTTAAGATTTTATTTATTTGAGAGAGAGTATAAGCAGGGGGAGTGGCAGGGAGAGAGAAGCATGCTCCCGCTGGGCAGAGAGCCCAACGTGGGGCTTGATCCCAGGACCCTGGGATCATGACCTGAGCCAAAGGCAGACATTTAACCGACTAAGCCGCCCAGGTGCCCCTGGAGTTTTTTTGAGTGGAGGAATAGTGTATCTAAGAAGTTTTATAAACAGAATTGTGGATCAGCATGGCTCAATCAAGGGTTTGTTGTTTTATGGCTTTTGTTAGTAAGATAACATCTACAAAATTATTAGAGTCATCATCATAGGATAGCATTAGAAAATTGGGGCACCTGGGTGGCTCAGTCAGTTAAGCATCTGCCTTCGGCTCAGGTCATGTTCCCAGGGTCCTGGGATCGAGTCCTGCATCAGGCTCTCTGCTCAGCAGGGAGCAGCCTGCTTCCCCTTCTCCCTCTACCTGCCGCTCTGCTTACTTGTGCGCTCTCTCTGTCAAATAAATAAATAAATAAATAAATCTTAAAAAAAAAAATAGGATCCACTTTTTAAAAGATTTTTTATTTATTTATTTTGAGAGAGAGAGAGCAAGAGAGATCACAGAGGGAGAGGGAGAAGCAGACTCCCCACTGAGCAGGGAGCCCAACATGGGGATTGATCCCAGGACCCTGAGATCATGACCTGAGCCGAAGGCAGATGCTTAACTAACTGAGCCACTCCGGCGTCCCATAGGATCCATTTTTATTTTTAAAATTAGGAATGTGCAGCAGTTTCTACAAAAGTTTAGACATAGACATATATTTGGCAACTGTTTTGACAGTTATGTGAAACACCTTATAAAGAATACTGAAAGCAGAATGTATAAATTAAATGAATTAAAATATCCAAAAATGAGGAGCAAAAACATTCTTTTATAGCTATAAGTGGTAGAGCTTTTTACTAGAAAATAACGTTAGTCATAAAAGATACTAATGGTGAAAATATAGGGTGGTTTTGGCTTAAATTTTTTGTTTGTTTTGGCTTAAATTTTAATTATAATTAAAAAATTACTTTATAAAATAATTTAGAGGGGCACCTGGGTGGCTCAGTCGTTATGCGTCTGCCTTCAGCTCAGGTCATGATCCCAGTGTCCTGGGATCGAGCCCCGCATAGGGTTCCCTCTCTCACTCTCTCTCTCTGTCAAAAAAATAAATAAAATCTTTAAAAAAAATACTTAGAAAGAAGAGCCTAATCAGTTCCTTTTTTTTAATAAGAGAGAATATCAGTCTTATTAAGTATTCCCTATACCCCATGTAAGACCCTGAGATCAAGAGTTGCATGCTGAGCCAACCAGGTGCCCCTAGATTGGAATGCCTGTATTTTCTTTGTTCCATTTCCTTTTATATTAATTGTGGTACATCAGTTGCGAGTTTTATTTCCCTTTTAGTTGAAATTCTTATTTAGTAATGTAGAACAAATTTTACTTTTAAAATTCTGTTTTGCCATATTGCCATAATTACATTAGAACCTTCTTTATGACCATTTAGCTGTTACTTACGAAGTGGGTTTTAATTCCTCATATGGTTAACAGAGTTTTTTAAGGTTTTACAATTTCTTCAGTTTTGAGACAAATTTGAAAGTTTTTGAAAGTCTCACCAATTTTTGAAAAATGGCTTTTGCATTTTAAATAACACATTTTGGTTTTTTTTTTTTTCAACCCAATAGTTTGTTTGCCTAATCTGGACTTGAAGCAATTCAGCTACTGGGAATCTGCCATTTAACAATATCACAATTGGAAAGAAGCAGGTTTTCAAATAATGGAAGACTCTAAGACCTCTAAAAATGAAAATCATGAACCAAAGAAGAATGCTTGGGCTCTTTCTGAAGAAAGCAAAGCAGTTAAAGTTATATCTAATCAGACTTTGAAAGCTAGAAATGATAAATCCATAAAAGAAATTGGGACCAGCTCTCCAAATAAGAATAGTAGTAAAAAAAATAAGCAAAATGATATTTGTATAGAAAAAACAGAAGTTAAATCATGTAGAATCAATGCTGCCAACATAGCAAGCCCTAGAGATTTGGGATTAGTCCTTCGAGATCAAAGTCACTGCAAAACAAAAAAATCACCTAATTCACCAGTGAAAGCAGAAAAGGTACCAGTTTCACAAGCAAAAGCAGAAAAATCACCAAAGTCCCCTAATTCACCAGTGAAAACAGAAAAGACACCCAGCTCACAGGCGACAGCAACAGAAAAGGCACTTAGTTCACAGAGGAAAATGGAAAAAGGACCCAGTTCTCAGATGAAATCAGAAAAGGTCCCTGGTTCACCAGCAGAACCAGAGAAGGCTCCCAGTTTACTGTTGAAGGAAAACATGCGACGGACAGAATTACAACATATTGGAAAAACAATTCCAAGCTCTTTTACGACTTTGGACAAAGTGAATATTGATGTAGAGGGAGGAAAATCTGCTTTGGGAAACTCACCAGGATCTCAGAAGCAACAAGCATGTACAGATAATACTGTTGATTCTGATGATAGTGCTTCAGGAATTGAAGACATATCGGATGATTTGAGTAAGTACAAATTAGATTATCCCACAGGTCACATTTTTGGAGAGATTTTCCTATATTAATATACTTTAGATTATCCTTAGTTTGATTTTAACTACTTTAATTACAAAAAGGACATTAATAATACAGCTTTTTAAGCTAAAAAAGAACCTTTACATTTATTATGGTAGATAAAAAGCCTGTGCAAATAGAAATTAGTGGCTCCTGTAGTCTGTACATGCATGTGTATGTACACACACACTTTTTTTTTTAAGATTTTTTATTTATTTATTTGACAGAGAGAGACACAGCGAGAGAGGGAACACAAGCAGGGGGAGTGGGAGAAGCAGGCTTCCTGCTGAGCAGGGAGCCCAATGCGGGGCTGGATCCCAGGATGCTGGGATCATGACCTGAGCCTAAGGCAGACACTTAACGACTGAGCCACCCAGGTGCCCTCGCATTTACACACTTTTTCAGTGGTCCTGGTAATATGTGGCTCATTCATTCAACAGACATATGTACTGAGTTCCTTTTATATGCCAAGCATATGTTTACAATGGAAAAACAAAAAATACAACACCAAATCTCAAGGGTGCTTCTACTTAGATGAGGGTGATACACATAAATAAAATGGTAATTTAGTTCAGTGCAAAAACTTAGAGTTGAGAGAGTGCATGATTTAATTGAGGGATTTAGTCTTTGGATTGAGAAAATGCAGGACATAAAAGTGAAAATAAGAGTATGACTGAGATTAAGTATGACTGGAACAGAATTGGGGGTGAAAGTGGCAAATGATCCAGCTGAAAATGCACACAATAATTGGAGAATGAAGGACCTTTTAAGATGTGATAGACAGTTTGCACTTTATGATGAGTATTTTGAGAAGCCATTGAAGAGTTTGAAGCAAGGTAGTGCTATGATCAGATATATTTATACATGTTTTTAATCGTTTGGACTGTAGCGCAGCAAATTCCTTACAGGAAGCAGAGATTGGTTAGGACACTTGCAATTTACTTGAGAATTCTGGTGTAAAATTCATTTTCTTTTGGTATTTTGATCTTAGCTTTAATTGCTTATAAATGTTGTCTGTGTCTTTTGAGTACTTTTAATCTTGGTTTTGTTTAACTTAATGGATTTTTTTTGGCTATCTTTTTTCTCATGTTTCAGCTGGGTAAATAAAACCTTTCCTTGATATATGAATAACAAAAAAAAACCTATTTCTAAGTCATTATATATTACACTTTGAGAAACTCTGGTAAAGAGTTTAAATATAGTTTCTTTTATTTCTGATGATACACAATTGATAGTATATTGACAGACCATTTTTTTTAAACTTTAATACAGATATCTTTATGTGTATAAGAAAAATACCAACTTCATAATTTTAAAAATATAGTTTAGGAGAAGGCCAAAAAAAGTAAGTCAATTTAAAGATAGTATCAAAAAAATAACACTGCTGATAGTGTTCAGATAAGACAAATCTGAACATGATAGTATGTGAATGATTGAAGTTGGGAAATCGTGGTGCATAAGATCACTTACAAGGGTTTGAATGCTTGAGTTAGTGAAATATCTGATTCAAGGATTATTATTACTTTTCCCAAAGATTTTATTTATTTATTTGAGAAAGAGAGAGAGGGGAGGAGAGGGAGAAGCAGACTCCCCATTGAGTAGGGAGCCTGACGTGGGGCTCAATCCCAGGACTCCCAGATCATGACCTGAGCTGAAGGCGCATGCTTAATTGACTGAGCCACGCAGGTGCCTCCAAGGATTATTATTTTTTTTTTTTAAAGATTTTATTTATTTATTTATTAGAGAGCGAGCGAGAGAGAAACAGCATGAGAGGGGGGAAGGTCAGAGGGAGAAAGAGGCTCCCCGCCGAGCCGGGAACCCGATGTGGGGCTCGATCCCAGGACTCCGGGATCATGACCTGAGCCGAAGGCAGTCGCTCAACCGACTGAGCCACCCAGGCGCCCCAAGGATTATTTTTTTAAAAAGGGAAAGTAAATGAAGTGACAGTGATATGATTGACAGTGTGGGCTCTAGAGTAGAATTGCATAGGTTTTGAATCCCATCTTCCCCACTTAGTAAGTCTGTAATCTTGGATAAGCTACTTATACTTTATTTTTTAAATTTATATAATATGAATAGGTGTACTGATATACATAATGAATGGATAGAGATAATGCATCTAGATACACATCAGATAAGCTGCTTATCCTTTAGAACATGTTTCAGTTTCCTCATTTTTTTTTTTTTAAGATTTATTTATTTACTTTAAACAGAGAGAGAGAGCACGCATGAGCAGGAGAAGGAGAGGGAGAGAAAATCTCAAGCAGACTCCCTGCTGAGCACAGAGCCCGACTCGGGGCTATATCTCACAACCCTGAGGTCATGATCTGAGCTGAAACCAGTAGTCAAATGCTTAACTAACTGTGCCACCCAGGCAGCCAGTTTCTTTATTTTTTAAAAAAAAGTTAAGATGCTGCTGCCTATTTTATGAAGGTTAAGTGAAGTACTCTAATGGAGTGTTTCATGTAGTACCTGACATGGTAGGCATGTGGTGGCAATGAATGAGTATCCTTTATTATTATTATTTCTCTAATTAAATGCAGTTTTGTTATTTGTTAATATGGAGAACAAGTTGAACTAATTTAAAGAAGCTAGTAGACCAAGTAGAGGTCCTTTTGGGAGACTTGGTTTAACAAATTCAGAAGAATGATTTATAGTACAGCAGTTGTTTTTCATTAAAGAATTCAGTATGTGTAATATTTGCCTCAAAGTCATGTTCATACATAATTGTTTAGTGCTTTTTTCCTCATATGAAAAGGTCCAAATTATATTTAAATTAATGATTTCTCATTAGAGTGCCCCTTTATAAATTAAATAGAATAAAACTTTGATATATAAATCATTGCCTATTTGGACTTAAAAGGCTTTATAGAATTTTGACTAATATCAGGCCCACCTGAAGTTAGTGACTTAATCTTCCCTTTTTTTTTTTTAAAGATTTTATTTATTTATTTGAGAGAGAGACCATGAGAGGGGGGAGAGTCAGAGGGAGAAGCAGACTCCCCGCTGAGCAGGGAGACCAATGCAGGGCTCGATCCAGGGACTCCAGGATCATGACCTGAGCCGAAGGCAGTCGCTTAACCAACTGAGCCGCCCAAGCGCCCATTAATCTTACTTCATTAGGCCCAACTTTAGCTTCCAGTTAGCACTTCTAGCTTTTCCTTTTGCCATTCATCCAATAAATATTTTTATGGGTTTCTGCTATGTGTCAGGTACTAATTTAGTTGCTAGGAATTTAGCAATGAACAAAAGAGACGACATTGCTTAAAGGAGCTATTATTCTAGTAGGAGGAGAGGGACAGCATATATAGTAAATAATGAAAGTATGTCATAAGTTAGATGGTAATAAATCTTATGAGAAAAAATAGGAAAGATTGTAGGGAATGATGCTACTGTGTCTGATGGTGGTGTTTCAAATTTAAATTGTCACTGAGAAAGTAACATTAGAGAAATACTTGAAGGAAAATGGTAAGAGAGGGAGCGTGATGAATATTTGAGGGGTGAGTGTTTTAGATCTGGGCTTCTCAAACTTTTTTTTTTCCCCCAAACTTTAATATGTATATGAATTATCTGGGAATTGTATTAAAATGCAGATTCTTGGGTTCCTTTCCCAGAAATTTTTTATTTTGAAAATCTAGAGTGGGACCTGAGATAATGGATTTCTAACAAGCTCCTGAGTAAGATTGATGTTGCTGGTTAGGATCATGCTTTTGAGCAGCATAACCTGTCTTATCTCTTTACTTTCACTTACATAACTTTTCATTGTATTTTCAACATAACAGCCAGAATGATCCTGTTAAAATTATTCAGGTCATATTACTACTCTTCAAAATGTTTCTGTAGTTTCCCATACATTAGAGTGACAGTGTCCTTGCAGTGAACAGTAAGGCCCTATGTGATCTGTGCCACTGTCTCACTTCACTTTCATTCATCTGCTTCTTACTTTCTCCCTCTCTGCTCCAAGTGCATGGTTTCCTTGCATTTCCTCAGATATGGAGGATGGCCTTCACATTTGCTTTTTCCTCTGCCTGGAACATTCTTCCCCAGGATGTCCATATGGCTTGCTCTCTTACCTTCCACCTTCTCAGCGAGGGTTTTGCTGGGTCCCTTATCTAAAATTTACAGTCCTTCTCTTTTTACTAGTTTAATTTTTCTCCATACTCTTTATCACTGTCATACTTTTAATTTTTCTTACTTACCTTTTAAAAATTATTATTATTATTTTTTAAAAGATTATTAGAGCGAGCACATGCACACACACAAGTGGGAAGGGCAAAGGGAGAGAGAATTTTTTTTTTTTTTTAAGATTTATTTATTTGACACAGAGAGAGACAGCTAGAGAGGGAACATAAGCAGGGGGGAGCAGGAGAGGGAGAAGCAGGCTCCTGGCTGAGCAGGGAGCCTGATGCGGGGCTTGATCCCAGGACCCTGGGATCATGACCTGAGCCAAAGGGAGATGTTTAACGACTGAGCCACCTAGACGCCCTGGGAGAGAGAATTTCAAGCAGACTCTGCACTGAGTGGGGAGCCCAACACGGGGCGCTATTTCACAACCTTGAGATCACGACCTGAGCCCAGACCAAGAGTCAGTTTGCCAAGTGACTGTGCCACCTAGGCACCCCTATTATTATTATTAAGTATGTTCCACACCCATTGTGGGCCCATTGTGGGGCTTGAACTCAGATCCTGAAATCAAGACTGAGCTGAGATCAGGATGCTCAAGCAACTGAACCACTGAAGTGCCCCTACCTTTTTATATAATAGTTTTATTGAGATACAATTCACATGCCAAAATTTCTCATTTAAAAACATACAGTTTAGGGGCACCTGGGTAGCTTAGTTGGTTAAACAACCAACTCTTGATTTCAGCTCAAGTCATCATGTCATCAAGTCATCAAGTCATCATGTCTTGACATCAAGCCCCACATTGGGTTTGTTCAGCACGGAGTCTG